AAAAACAAACATTCAAGTGTTTTGAAAACGCTTCAGGGTGAAGTCCCATTTCTCATGTTCCCCGAGTGCAGCTTCACCCCCACAAATAAGTTAAACAGCTCCCTAATAGCATTCTGAACTGTGTAATTGCAGGCAAAATACTTGACTTCCACCCACTGCTTCCCATGCTCTCAACACGTGCCACCAATCATTTCCATTTTGATGTAAAGTTGCTTTTCATTCTACAGGAGGGGTTTACGTTGTTGTTGTTTTGTAATTTAAAGAAAAAACAACTGAAGACACAAAGCATGGACAACATATATTAGATCCTGCCCTGGTACAGACTGTCAAACAACTGTGGGTGATGTGAGGAATTATCAGCTCCATGTAATTTCCTTTTTCACATCTCTCCTCAGCTGTGCCTCAGAACTAATGTTCCCAAAGAGGGTCCAAATACCCCTCCAAATTCAACCACATGCTAGTGGTGCCCAAAAATGAGCAGCAAACCTCTGAACTAGAGGCTTCTTCTGAAACCTGCCCTGAATCCAAGGCACTGAATCCAACAGCATTTTCTACACCAGGCTTGAACAGAGGGTGCTGTGCCCATTGCACTCTTTGACAACCCTTGCCTCCTGCTATTTGAAACACTGCTTAGCCAAAGTGAAGCCTGAATGTCATGAGAAAAAAGATAGGACATTTTCCTGGGGTTTTACTTTCTAAGTATTCAGCTGGATATGACAGTAATTATTTAAGTGGTATTTTTAGCCATATTTGTGACCCTTGGGATTAGATAAAATTTTCCCATTGCAGCAGGTTAGTTTACTGCAAGCAACACACTTGAATGATTTTCCTTTCACCTCCATTACCATTTAAATGCCTCCGTGAGGCACTGCAGTCAGCTCCTCTGCACAGAAGTGGAGGAGCACCACAAATGACTGTGCATTAATAAAGGGGCAGACAGCCCCGCAGTCCCTCCATTACTCTGTCATCAGAGATATCTGCTCTAGGTTGTGCTCGGAGCATTAGCCCATGTAGCCTGATATGAGTTCACGAGGCTGGAATTCAAAACACTAACCAGCTGTGGGAACCCGGGAAGGAGGCTGTCACACTAAATGGTATCCAGATTAGAGCTGTGAGAATTTGGGAAAGCCCGTCTAGCAAGCATGATCTCTCAGGGGGAGGGAGGGAGAGAAACAGTTCCCAAGTTGTTAGACTCCTAAGCCTAAAGGAAACTAGGGCTGTCTCATTAGATACTAACAGTGCAAGGTTTGACTGGAACTAAATCTGTATCAGTGGATATTTTCCCAGGGGAAGAATTACAGCAAGCTATTTTTTTGAATTAAAATACAGATAACTACCTTGAAGATGGCTTTTTCACTGCTGTGCAGTGTGGGGCTGGGTGCACATGACTCCCTAAAGGATCTCACTGTGGCAGAACTGAGGGGAATTGTGGTCCAAGGGATGGACCCTCTGTGTCACCTCACACATGAGGGAGTATGTGACATGTATGACATGCAGGTGCTCGATTTAAAATCCCCACCAACTAAGCAGCCAAATTCAAGAGACAACTACACAGTCAGATATGGAAGGAAGAGAAAAAATGCAAACATTTTTTTACTTTTCTACCCTACAACTGATATTTCACATGGCTGTTGGAAAAGGTGGGCAGGAAATATTTGCCTGTTCCCAGCTCTGATGCCTCAGGTGATGTAATAGGGAGAAATTTCTTTACAACAAAGCGCTGCAAAACTTTTTAAAAGCTAATTCTTTTCCAAGCCTTGCTAAGGTATGGCAGACCCGAGGACCAAGTCCCAAAATGATATTTACTTCTCTTCATAAGTCTTTCAAAATTCTGAGAAAGTAGGACAAGTGAGAAGCCTCTAGACAGGACCACAGGCATCCTGGTTGATTTTCTTGGATGCTGCCACACTAGCTCAGCTCTCCAAAGACAGTGCCCACACTGACAGGGCAGTTTCAGGAGGGGAGGGTGCTCAGTGAGCTGTGGGCACATCCATCAGCCCGGGCCGGAAAAGCAATGCCCTGCAGGTGCTGGCTTTGGAGGAACCCATCAGGGCTGGAAGGGGCTTGTTCAAAGGCAGGGATGCCTCAGGAAGTGATCCTGCTCTGCAGGATCTTAGTGACCCTGAACGCAGGAGCCATGCAGATGGTGTCAGAGTCCTGTGGGACTCCAGGAGCAGGGCACACAGCCTGATTAATGTCACACCTGTAGGGCTTGTGGGAGTGACTAATGACACGTGTCTGGTGAAATCCCCACTGCAGCTTCCCCTCCTGCACCACAGACAAGTCTAGTCATCTGCTCAACTTTGCCCCAGACTCAGAGGGGGAAAAAAATCAAGTGGTTCTCTTCTGTCAACATGTTAATTGGTCTGATTATGGAAGTAAACAATCACAGGACAACAGGAAAAAATAAAACAAACAAAAGGGGCAAGACACAGATTCTCTATTATGTATAGCACTGAGCCAGCAAACCAAGTGAAGACAAGAACACAACTTTCTTCCTCTTTGTTAGTTAAAGTGGTTGGCAGCAGTCAGGAAAATGTTGATGCTCTTTTGTCTTCCAATATATTTTGTTTCTTCAGCAACAACATTAATGACATGATATGACATTTTTGTTTTTGAAAATTTGCTTTGTAATGAAAGTGGGCACTACAGTCCCATTTTCCTTCACATCAGAGAAAACTGCAAACTCTCATTACTAGATGCTTTTTTCTCTACTGTTTTCTCTAGTGTTTTCTGTAACAAAACATTAGAGCAGAAGAAATCAGGGAAGAGAATGGCCATTGAGACTTTTGAAAAATTCTAAGCATATCCTTCCCAGCTCAGAAGAGCCTCTCTGCAGAAGTGACAGAAACCAAAGTAGCTTAACTCACACACTGCCAACTCCCTCTTCCTAAATGGGGAAGTCCACACTTGCAGGGATCAGGAAGTCCTGGCTGCCATGCCTGTTATTACCTCCAGCCCAGTTGAAATCTTTACTTGGGATACCCACCTCAAATGTGGTTTTAGCTGCTTCCTAGGTGCTATAACACCAGATCCCAAACACTTCCATATCTTGCATGCTCACACAAAAGACCCCCTCACAGCATGGGAATCCCCAGACCAACCCAGGGCACCTCTCCAGTCACCCAAGAGACAAAGATGCTGTTTCTTTTTTTTTTTTTTTCCCTGAAGTTTCTTTCCCCTCTAGGTAAAAACAACACAAGTTCCTGCAGAAACCCATCTGGCAGTCTTCACTCCTGCAAAGTCTTCCCCATCTCCCAGCACAGACACAGGCTACGGAAGGATGTGCAGGATTAGGCTGCAAGATTTAACCTGAGGGGAGCTAATGTGACTCATGAAATGAGACATCAATTACTGAGCATGGGAGACAGATTAAGGGAAAAGTGGAAACTGTTTCTTTTCAGTGACTCGTTTAAGCTGTGTTTGATTTAAGAGGTCCTTGACAAGAAATGCACTTAAGGGTTTTAATACTTCAGCCATTCCAAACTGCAAGTGAATAAACCCAAAGGGCAAAGCACCTTGACCCCTAAACAGCAATCAGCCAAAAACCAGTCAAGATATAACATGTCCAGCCCAACATCCCTTTCCCAGATTTCAGCTGGAGTACTACAAAGATTCAGGCTGTCATGATAAAAGATGGCCAAGCAACTCTTCTGGCTTTCTCTGAGCCAGCTGCAATGATCAGCAGCAAAATAGCTCTTCCAGTGACATAGTCAAGACAAGTTTACCTTTCAGTCTGAAATCCTGATTTTAGATGGTTTTTAGCTGCCCAGTATTTATTACTAGAGCAGCCTGCAAAAGCTTCAGACATGCATGAAGACCCCATAGACTTAATATTGAATACAAGAAGCTTGTACGAGTCTGTGCAAAGCATGCAGAGACTTTCTGCCAGATTTGAGAGACAGAAAGGGTCTTCCAAGCAGAACAGATAAGTGGATGGGAATTGCTGTCATTTGAATGGCTCCGTCCTGCCTCCATCCCCCAGCACCAATATATCTAGAAAGATTCACTGGTTCTACACTTCCCCAGAATGCTTCAAGTGAGATCTAAAAGAAAATGAGCTCTAAAAATACGAGGATGCCTCTGCCTGAAAATATTCACATACATCAAAAAGAAGGGCTTGACCAGTGTTTAAATAAGTCACTTGAATTTTTAGACACTATTACATAAGGGGGTTTTATTTGTACTGCTGCTTTTGATTTTTATTTACTTATTAGCAAGTCATTTTCATCTATTCAACATTGCATCTTATATGAGAAACATCAAAAGCTTCAGACCCTTGATGACATTTATCCCCACCAGTGCACAGCAAATTACAGTGAGGGAAAAAAATCCAAACACAAGGCATTCAAAGCAAACCAGCATGGAAGGCAGAAATGCATCTAGCCCAGAGCAATAATATCTTAATGAATAAACATTGTTCTCCACTGCTACCTCTTACTAAGAGATACCCACAAGGCAGCCAGCAAAAGTTTAATTCTTTCCATTCCTGTTCCTTATGGCAGCCTTGTCACTTTTGTTACAGTCCGAGCTCTGCAGCCCTGGTATCAGCTGGGTGTACCCAGCACTGATGGGAGCATGGGAGAGTTTCGCCCCCAGGAGCAAAATTCTATAAGGTGGGAAGAAGAAAACCTCATCCACAAGATGTGCAAGTATGAGACACTCACTGCTCAGTTTGTACCATCCATCAAGCCACACATTTCTGAAAGACCCCACGTGTAAAGAGGGACCTATTCAAACCAGTAAGATGCTATGAGAGGGGCAGAGGGGAAAGCAGTGGAGAGAGAGGCAACTGAAGTTCCCGTTAAGTATAAAAGTGCAAGATTTTGTACTTTAACTAGCTCCAAAAGCTATGCTGATGGAAATTCAAATATTGACATTTACCTTCAGTGTGATACCCAAAGATGAAAAATGTTCAACTGGCAATGAGCACAGCTTCTCTTTTCTAAACTGACCTTAAAAAAAAAAAAAATCAATAAAATCACTAATCTTGTACATACTTTTTGCTGTTAATTCAACAGAGGTGTTACTAGAAGTCTTCAGGAGCAGCTTGAAGCTTGTCTCTGGAGTTCCTCTGGTGACTCTGGCAGGTGGAATGCATTAGCTAAGTATTCACCTATGTTAGGCAGGGAAAGGGGAATTATTTCAAGTAAACAAACGTGGCTTTCTCCTGTAAGACCATCATAACTTCTAGAGTTCCCACCACCTCCCAGGACTTTTTTTTTTTTTTATTGTGCTAAACCAAGCCTTTATTTTATCAGTTATATAGTGAAAGCTGCTCTAAGATGAGTAGGAAATTTTCTTTTCCAGTTAAGGATTGGTAAGTGTCACTTGGTGGCAATCCCCCAGCAATATGTAGGTAGATGTAATTAGGGAAATACACACAGCATTCAGTCTCAGGACTGAACACCACAGGACCAGAGTGTGGAAAGAGACAACCACTTTATTCTGAAGCAAAGGCACCACAGTGGAGAAAACCTGAGACTCTAACCTAGGATTTCCCGCATGCTCTGCCCAAGCAGCAGCTCCACACACCACTCTTCAGTCAGGTCAACAGCATAGCTACAAGCTTGCCCTCCAGTGAAATAAGTAAAACAATAGTTTCAAAGTCTCCCAGGAAGTTTAAATTCCTGGCATAGCTCATGCACAGTGGCACAGCAAAGAGTTTGCACTGGCACAAATACGAGTTCTGTCCCTACGTAAGTGACAGCAGTGGTTGTGTACTCCAAACTGCCCTCGCTCAGTTCTGTCACTTCTTTACCCAAATGTTCCATCATTCACATGCTCAACAACCAACAGATTCAATAGGTGGAAGGTTAAAATCAAAACAACCCACCAAATTGCAAGACAAGGTTTTTTTCCAGGTCACTAATGTGCATTAAAAATCAGAGTCAATAAAAATGATTACATTTTTAACAAACATAAGAGGTTATCTCCAGCACTGATCTAATAATTTGAGTGAATTATTTCTAACTGCAGTTTCATCACAGCCTCCTGAAGCTGTGTTTTACAAAGGTTTATGCTAAATTAACAGTATGCTGAATGTTTAAGAACAGTATCCCTAGAACTACTCATGTTGAAGAAATTAACCTATGGATTGAATGTCTCTTTCAGCTGACAATTAATGCAATCATGGAAAGAAAAGGAGGAAGCATGAGTGCAAAGGGAGGGAAATGGAAGGCCCGATTTCTTTTGCAAAATTAACTTTTGGGGCTGAAATAATATTCCATCTGTTGGCTTAAATCTGGTTTTTTTCCTATTCAGATACCTTTCTAATCAGTTCAACATGTTAGATGTGTCTCAAACTGGACCTTGCACCTCGAGGGGAAACACCACTGTGGTCTTGTTCTGTAGGGTATTACCAAGAATATTCCATGCACCCCAGCCTTTTTCTGCTTTTGATCCAAACATACCATTAGTACACAGAAGCAACACTACCAGATAGTGCCAAGTCCTGACAAACAATGTCTAAAATATTTTTCTAATTAGCAAGTAGTGAGGTGTCCAAAACTGAAGTCAGCAAGAAGCCCTTTCAGCACAGGACAGGGCAGGAATGCAGAGGAGGTGGAAGCAATGTGCAAAACTGTAACTTGAGGCAGACACATTTGCAAAGGAATAGAATCTCACAACAACATTTTTCTCTGGTGAAGCATTAGGGCACTTGCTCTTAAGTGCATACTTAAATCCAAATAACATTTAAAAGCATTAGAGTGTGTTGAAATGCTTTGTTAAGCTGGGCTTGAGAAATAACTCACTTCCATAAGTTACTCTGATACTGGGATATGATAGGAGCTGGAGTTGTCCACACATCCCTGTGTGGACAGAGAAGATGAAGAAAGGCTGAGAGAAGTGGAATTTTGGGAAGCCTGAAAAAGAGAAGGCTTTGGGGTGAAGTGATTGCAACGCTACAGTACCTGAAGGGAGCTACAAGAAAGATGGAGAGGGACTCTTAACAAGGACAAGGGATGATGGCTTTAAATTGACAGAGGATGGGTTTAGATGGGATATCAGGAAGAAATGTTTTACTCTGAGCATGGTGAGACGCCACAAAGGGATCTTCAGAGCAGCTATGGCTGCCCCATCTCTGGAAGTGTTTAAAGCCTATCTGGATGGAGCTTGGAGCAACCTGGTCTAGGGGAAGGTGATCCTGCTCCAAGCATTCTTCCTCCAATACCAGCTACTAGCCAGGATAGCTGTGCCACTGCACTCACTTCATCTTTAGGGGAAACAAAGAAAAAAAGAAAAAACCCAAACCAAAGAGCAGAAACTTTCTGTTTTACAGCCTGAAGTGCAGAGGAAAAGCAGGGAGGGATTTGTGCTCAGCAGCGTGGCAGTGAGTCACACTGCCTCCCAGGGCTGCTCCTTGGGTGGCACAGTTTACACACCACCCCTTGCTCAGTGGATGAGCCTTGAGTCCCCATCCAGCTCCTTGGGAAGGAAACAAACACAGATTTTACATGTGCTTGGTCACATGGCCTGTGTGATGTTATCCAACATGCAATTACCAAGAGGAAATTCTCTAAAGCTGAGCCTGTTTGCTTCCAAAGGGATCCCAGTGGAAAGCATTTCTACTTCCATTTTTCCCTACTTTGACTATCTCCTTCACTATTTTTTCTTTTTTTTTTTTTTTGCTTCAGTTTTCCAGGTCCTCTTATAATTTATCCCACCTACTCAGCAAGCTTCAACACAGTCAGTGCTGACTGACCACAGCCACAGAGCAGCTCTATGCTCACGCCAATTACTTCCAACAATATATGGATTAGATTACATACACACTGCCAGAAAAAACTATCTACCTCAGATTTAAATCATTAAGAATGGCCCTCTGGAGACAATAATCTCTCCTCAATGTGAAGGCTACAGACAAATGTCAGAATTCTGTCTGGCCTAGGAATGTTTCCTCATAACAAGGCTGGTTTGTGCAATCAATGAGGCTGACAAAATCTCTGATATGCTCTCAGGGCCTCATCCAAGGCACAAGGAAGTTTATGGTAACACTCTCATTGACTAGAGCTCTGTGGGAAACCTTTTTTTTTGACCTGACCCATTAAATTTTTGAGATTTGAAAGCTTTTTTCCCATTCTGACCACCACAGAAAAATGGAAATCTCAAATTTTCGCAGCCAGAATATCTACTTGCATCACTCCCACAAAAGAGACAAGATTTAAAATAAAAACCCAATTTAAATATTTTGTTCAAAAGTGAAGGGAAACAATGGAATCTTGAAATCAGAGATCATTTTCAAAATCAATGGCTTTGTATTAAGAAATTGGCAGTTTTTCAACAAAACAGACATCAAAAACTTGTTCAACAATTCCAACATTCTCTCCTGAACTGTAGAGCAGGTCTTTCCTGCATGAGTGAGTTCACCTGGAATATTTTTCTCTTTAAAAATAGAAATCCCTTGTACACAGGGACTCTATTCATCTTCCTAACAGGCATAATTTATGTTCCAGCCACTGAAGAGGGACAGTCTCTCCTTGCACACCAAGAGGTGGAAGCCATTTGATTACAAGGACAATAAAATCTCCTCACAGGTAATTACAAAATGTAAACACCACATCTCTCATTTTAAAATCAATTACACTTCCTTCTGCAAGGTGATAAGTGCCAAATCATGTCTCAAAGCTGCATTTTCCATCCCCAAAGGTCTTGAACCCCAGTGAGGCAAGCCCCATACTCACAGCCAAAGCCACTGGATGGAGCTGTTAGGAACAGTCTCACAAGCCCCAGCAGTGTGTCCTGCTTAGCCTTCAGGAAACCTGCATTCGTATTATCTTTAAGACATTTCCAGCGGGAAAGGCTTTGCAAGCAGCAAGGAAGGTTTCTCACTGTTCACAATATTTGCACGGAGCTCTTGCTCAGCAGGGAACAGACACAGGGACACCCTACAAAGGCCCTGAGAGATGACTGAGGTATTTTGTGGAATATGAGTAACACCAAGAACACACAAACACACACCTGCATTCCCACACCAATTCCATTTCTTGTGAGGGGAAGCTGTCCTGGACCCTCAGTACAGATTAGTATTCAAAAAGGTAAACAGAGCAGGACAAGGCCCACTCCAGGTGGAGAACAGAGAGGAAATGGAGGAAAAGATCTATCAACCTACTGTAGTGCTAAAAAGAAACTTGCAGAAAAACTGGAATTTAAAATTTAAAAACCCTGATTACCAATGCTAAGGTGTTCTCCTGTGCATTAAGCAGCTCCTGCCAAGATTTGAGTCATGGTAATCCATAATTCTTAAGGACAGTAGTTTCCCAGAAAAAGCATCACTGGTAATAGTAATATAGAGCTGGAGTCCATTATTCTTCCTACACGTGTGTGTGTGTATGTACAGCTAGAGAAAAACACTGACAATCCAAGAACTAATAATAAACCAGGTGACAGCACCTGCAAATAAAGCATTCCTCAATGGGAACTCCTGAACTGATATTTTCCAGTTGCTGACTCCCAGGGCCATGTGAACTGTCTCACCTTTAGAACCTGGAGCATGCTTTTCCACAAGACAGTGAGAGAAGAGCACCCAAGGCTTCAGCTGAGTGTCCAGAGAGGAGCAGGCCACATTCAGGGACTCCTGTACCAGCACAGTGTGCTCAGTGACACCAGCCATCAGCCATGGGATGTGTGGGATGTGCCACTCCTGGAGCAACTCTGCATTTACCGGGCAGTGAATCCCAGAGCTCCCCCGTGCCGCTGCCTGGGACAGCCAGCATCATAAACTCAGCTTTGTGTTCTTCATAATAACTTCAAGATAAGTGCCTGTGTCAGCTCAGTGAGCCATCCACCCAGGTATCTCCCCCTCGTATCTCTGGCTCTCAATGAGCTGTCAGGAAATTCAGGATAGCAGTCAGGTCCCTCACTTCTAGTCAGAGCCTGAGTCCGGTTTTGCAGACACTCCTTTACCCTCCCACTTCAAACCTCTCGCTGAGTGGGCCATGTTTTCTGTCACCAGCCACCTTTCCTTGGCTATCATCTCAGCTCCCACAGCAGGCAAACCCAGCAGCTTTCCCAGCACAGGAGCCCTTGCACATGCTTCCCGGACAAAGTAGCACTTGAGGTCTGTGACTGCCCCAGCCCCTTATCCTCACATCCTTGCACCTATTCACTTTCACATGCATCAGGGCCAATTCACTGCCCCCTCACCCAATCTCCAGCCAAATGCAAAACCTCACCTGTTGCCTGAAAGATTTTCAGGTGGTGCAGCAGATGGGAAAAAAGTTCAATTTTTCTCCAGTTTGTTGTATTAGTGCTATGCATTACATTTGCTGTTAAAATAAGAAACAAGGGAATCAAAACATGCTCATCTTGCTCCTTCATGGGTTGTGGGGTCCTACAGGGCACAGGAAATGCTGTGTCTCTCCTGAGAATAACTGCATAAAGTCAGCTTGAAGATTCCAGAGAGCAGGATGGGTTCAGCTAAAATTATTAGACAGCAAACAAAAGGCACCAAGCAAAGCTGACAGACTCCTGAGAGGTGCAGGAACTTGCCAACAGGAAAGGCATTTTAACAGAGCTTCACTTATGGGATGGTGTGGAATGCTCTGACTTCATAGGGACTGCATGGAACTGGCTACAACCTCAACAGTCACCAATAACTCAGATACAAAGACTGAAGGGCATAATGTAACGTTGCAGTAGGGGAATGAGTTACGCTGGATCCCTCTTGGAAGCTGTGAGCTTCTATACCACAGTGTTTTCTTGTCATTTTTTTAACAGAAACACAGCCTAAAAAAAAAAGGTTTTGGGCATCTTCTGGTGCATGTGTAAGAAAAAGTGTCATAGTTCTGCCTCAAGAGTAATGTACCACGACATTACAGAGTGGCTGGATAGATTATACACCTATGAAGACTAAAATAAACCAGAGTTAAAAGCCACCAAGAGGTCTGTCCCACAAAAGATGGAGAGAAAGTTAATGTATGTACCTTATTAAGCAGGTTATCTGATGTTCAAACTATCCCTGAAAGAAGCACTTCCACCTCAACTTTGTCTATACAACAGATGGGACTTTATTCTCAACCTGCATATTCCCATGCATCAAAGATGGCTGAACTTGAAAGACAATGGATAATAAGTCTATCCACTTCTTAATTAAACTTGGAAATTAGATGTCGTATTCCTGATTTTTTGGGTTTATTCTGGATTTTGGCAGGGCCAAGCTTGGGGCTTTTGTTAAGGAAAGCCAACTGAAATAACTATATTGTTCTACTGCAGAGAGAATTTCCAAACTGCCATCAGAGCTTTATGAATATGTACATACAATACAGCTGCTCATGCCACCAAGAGCATGGAAAAACTTTCTTCCCAACTTTGGAAAGCTTCCCCCACCCCACCATGGAAGTGGGAAGTTAAAGTTCCAAACTTTGAAAGGCCCTTTTATTCTGTCTTTCTGTCTCCATGTTGGAACTAAGGAGAAAAGGTTAAAGGGTGACAAGAATAAAAAATGAAAAGGAGAAGGAAAAAAAAAAAATCAGGAAGGGAACAAAGTTTGAAATCAGAACTCCGAAGTTCTGTCAGCTATTTTTCCAGGTGTAAGGAATTCTTTCCTGAGCTTATTTAAAAAGGAAAAGCACTCTGACATCTCTTAATTTTGAAGGCTTTTCTAGTCTGAATTTGCACTATTAGTACTCTTATGCTTGTTACAATACAATCCATCAAAGGCTCAACAACTATTAAGTTACTGACATAAAACCATCCACATATAAAAATACATGCTATAATAAAAGCCATCTTCTTAGGGTTAAAGTACATTTAACACATGAGCACTGAGCTATTTGTAATGTGTGTTCTTGGTCTCTACCAATTCTGAAAATGCAAGAGGGCAGGAAGATTCCTCCTAAAACACATCAGTTCTGTAAGAAAAATTGAAAGTGTCAGTGAAAGCACTCTTCATCCCTGAGATAAAAGGGCAATTTGTTTTTTCTGATCTTTCATTGGACTTGCACTCCAGAGGACTGAGCAATGCAGTGAATTTTGAAATCAGAGACACCAGAACCTCTAATAGTTTTTAAGGCTAAACTCACTTTTTTTTTTTTTTGGCAGGAATATAATATAGCCCCATTCCTGATGATTAATGATCAAAAGAAAGTCAGCTAAAAAAAAATTAAAGTGCAAAGTCTAAACTTTATGGACTTAAAGAGTAACTTCTCCTGACATGCTGGAGGGAAAAGGAAGTCAACTCAAGCCACTGAACTCGCTGGATTGAACAGGCCTGTGACAACGACCTGAATCTCATCTCTGGCTTCAAATGTACACCAGAATCATGATGACACACTGACATTTATGAGAGGGCATTCGATGCTAAGGCCAAAATTCACAGGTATTGAAGATATACAGAATTAACTAGGATTAAAAATATCCTGGGTGCTGTGTGTAAAATTGTTCCTCTAACATCCAAGCAGCAGACAGGCATAAACGCATGCACTTGCTCCTTCTCTGCTGCTGGGAATTCTGCCAACATGTAGGATTAAACCACACATGCATATCATTCCCAGATGTGCAATGAGGAGAACATCCTAGAGTATCACCTCCACAGCCTGCCCCAGGAATCAAAGCTGTTCTCTATCCCACCCACCACTAATATCTTCTCATGATTCATCAGCCAGCAATAAACTGGAACGCTGCACAAACTCGGCCCTGATTTATTTCATTTAGTGGGTTCTGTGACTGCAAGACCTGCCTCTAATTTACCATATTTTAAACCAACTACCCCAAAGCAGCACGTGTTTCCCAGGCTCCAGCCACACTGTCTGGGGCCATCCGTTCCCTGCAGTAATTTCCACTGGGAAAAGGAAGGCAGAGGGATGCAGCTGGGAGGTGTCAGCCCGTGTCTGACCCTGGGTCAGCAGCAAGAGCCCAGGAGGTGCTGGAATCCCTCCTAGCCTTCTGGAGGATTTCCACAGCTCTGCATTTCTGCAGTGGGACTTTCCTCCCCTCCTCACCCCAGCAGCCCCATCCCAGAGAGCATCCCTGGCATGGCCTGAGAACAATACACCAATGTGATTTCAATTAGGACAATAACAAATTCATGGAGGTTCAGCCCTCACCATCTGTCCAAAGGGAGCAAGGCTCTGGTCTGGGGCTTGGGGGTTTTTCCCCCCTCTTCCCTATCCTCATTTCTTATGAATAATTTGACAAATCCATCTACATAACAAATTGAATGGGGTTTATGGCAAAAAAACAAAAGAGAGAATGAAGGCAGTTCCACTATTAATTCCCACCATTTGGAGCATTACATAGTTTATCACTTAACATGTGCATAATTTAGCATAATTCAACATTCAAGCACATTAAACAAAGAAAAACAATAGTGAAAGCTTATTAATAAGACCGATTCTGCCTTTCCAGAGGAGTAATGTCTGTCTCAAATCACAGTTCCACTAAAACTTAAGTTTCAGAAGCTTAAGTGCACTTTTCACTAGAAGACAAAAAGGGGATCAATCTATCTGAAGCAGAATAATGAACAGGAGGAATTTTATAGGTTAATACATGACTGTCTCAAAATCTTCCTGTGCCCATATATAGAGGCAGTAAATTAAGATTTTAAAGCCATTTGAATCCTGAGGGAGCCTACCAGACACTCACCTTGTGCTACCACTTCCCAGGGTGAAAGGTCAGGCATGGGTCTGCCCCAAAAACCAGTGCCTAACACCATGGATATTTCACACGTGGCAACTTCCACAACCCCACACAACTGAATTAACTGGGACAGTTTGTGGCCCTGGGCCCTCACCCAGAGAATTGTATGTTCAGACCTCACTTCTGTCCCATGAAGGGAAGAAAATGAAGTGCCACAAACCAGGACACAGCAGGGAGTCCCAGGGCACAATTACAGTGAGGGATGGAGGGAAGTGCTAAGATAGGAAGGCACATCCAAGGTAATCCCAAACACCTGGCTCCAGGTGTGTTTTGGGATGCTTTGCAGAGCCTGGCCCATTACAGAAACTGCCAGAAAAACATGTGGGAAAAGAGGGGGAGGGTGGGGGAGAAGAACAGAGAAGAAAGATCTTTCTTCCAACATACTGAAACAATTAATTAGAGCAGATTTAATCATTTCACTCATTTTGAAGGGAGTAAATTCATGCTAAACTTGCCAGGCTGAGGATGATGGAACAAGTCATGGGAAGGAAGATGTTATTGAGTTAAAGAGCAATGAAGGAGAAAGCAGCAAAATTCTTTGCTTTGTTTTAAGATACTCTGTAAGGTTATCACACTGAAATGTAGGTATCTACAATCTAGTCAGAGCATGGATTTCCCACACAGATATTTTCCAGCTTTGTCTCAGTCAATACAAAAAAAAATTATATTTCAACATCATTTTTCAAAAATACAGTGATTTTCTATATTAAGAAATAGCTTTATTATTCTAAAAACTAATAGTTTTCTACATGTCAGCCAAAACTCACTGTTTATTTCCTTTCATCACTCAACACCTGCAGCCTGGAAGGCACCTTTGCACACTGACATGGCTGTCTAGCAAGTGGGAATATACCAGGCAGCAGAGCTCTTATAAATTATCTGCCATCTGCAGGAAAGTAAATGGTCATCACCCCTGCCCTCTCATCACCCAAAATGATGGTTGCACACAATCACAAATGGAGACAGACTAAGAGATGAGGTAGCAGAGGGGAGCAAAAATCAATTCTTCCACCTACAAATAATTAAGATACAGGAAGCTTGACCCCAACTTGTAGTGATACCATTCAGTGCAAATATAAGCAACAAAAACCAATTAGAAAACATTGAAAAAGTATTGAAAAGTACTCCACTGAAATGAGCTTTAGCATGGTCTCCATGTGAGTCACAACTGGGTGCAAACTGGTTCTGAAAACCTGTTTCTAGACCTGTATTTCAGCAATATTTAGTAAGTCAGGGAAATCCATTCAAACTCAACTCCAAAATCCATCTCCCTGACAACACAGCACAGGTGAATCATCCTGTTCTGGATGACTGTGGGACCAAGTGTCACAAGAGCTACAAATCCATAGTTTAGGAACATTCTTGCCTTGATTGCTCCTGGTCAGTGTAGAAGGAGAGGAGTGAAGGGTGAAACTATAGTCTGTCCAATCATATCTGTCCACATAAATCACTGAAGTGGGCCAGACCTCCCCAGGAAAAGGTACCTCAAGCTTAATTTAACCCTTCCTTTGTTGTAATAGGAAGCTCTCACCTCAAATGCCATCCACCAGTGCAGTTATTCCTCTCTTATTCACCTTAATGACTTCTGAAGGTAACTTTGAATTTTTGAAAAGCCGGCAGCCATAGCAATGAGAAAATATATTCCTAGAAACCAAACTCAGAGTGCTACCTTCAAGCTTTCTAACAGAATATCTCTCCACAGCACTCTGAGCACACTGAGTTGTCACAGCAGATGTCATAGTTAGCCACAATACACAGAGCATCATCACACAATTTCAGAGAGGTTCAACCCAGAGTAACACCACACCTCATCAGAAGGCTTCAGGCATCTGCCCATACAGACTAACATCACTCCACTTCAGGAGGCTGCAAGCATCTGCCCTTCTTGTTCTTTAGTCCAACCTTTTCTACCCTCACATTCATGCATGGCACCTGTGTGCCCTCTGTTCCTTTCTGGGGTTGGTCAGTGCACCTGGGCACTCCATGGCTCCTTACCTTCAACACTGCTCACCTGTCCTGCACAGCTGTAGCCCATCAGGGATGGGGCTGGGCCACAGCCCCACTCCCAATCACCACAAACTCTGTGCCTACATTGAATATTAACTAGGAGGGATTGACTTGAAGATAAAAGAAAAAAAATCTAATTTTTTTTAAATAACTTTGTGTACTGAAGTCAACACAAGTTTTATCACCAATTTAGAGAAAGCAGAATTCCATGTTTGGATTGTACCTAAAGATACAGATCAGAGTTCAATGATATTTCTTGGTTTGACTACTGACAACTTTTTATCAGACATTTCTTATAATTCATGGTATCTACTGTCTACAAATATCTTTTGCAATGAAAAAGCCTGTTTGCATAAATTTGAGGATGCTTCAGTCCATGGCACCACTTAAACAACAGCTGCTTATGAAAGCCTAAGGAAGAATTTGTTTCACTACATTTTTTTTGTCAAACAATGAAATTCTGATGCACAAAAAAAAAATCCCCAAACTTAAATTAGTGTCACATTTTTCAGAAGGTGCAGAAGTTTGACCACCTCCTGGAGTGCTCTTAAATATAGCTGGCCATGATGAGAGGTCAGGTCTAATATATTGTGGAACAAGGACAATTTCATGTCTTTCCAAAATATTATTTTAATTTCTTATGGGCAAAGTCAGCAGCACTAAAACATGCAGTCTATAGGATCACTGTCTAATTTTACTAAAGGAGCTTTGAGTGCTTCAAAAATCATTATGCAAACAATTTAAGCCTTCTGGGCTTAAATATAGTGGCATTTGGATTGGTCTGAGAAGTTACATGATGCATCTTCCTTCTGATAAGGCCAAAAATCAAATTTCTTCAGCAAAATGTTTTTGCACCTGTTTTAACCTGACAGAGCACACAAGTATATGAAGACATGACACAGAACTGCTTTATTTTCAGATCTTCTTCAAAATATTCCAAGAGTTCACACAAGTTCACTGAAAGACATGAATGAAGTTTTAGGACAATTCTGATTTTCTTGAAAGCTATTCACACCACTGCCACCCTTCACTAAACCATACTGTTGTTAAAAAAAATCAGATTGCCTGCAAATGTATAGAATTTGTTATGTGGGAAAATGTTTCAAATTGCACTCAGAGACTTGCTTTTAAGCATGCCTGGCACTCAGAAGCTTCTGGCATAAAATTGAACATAAGTTTTTCAAAGGAAGATGAGCAGTCAATACTCAGCAGTTTCTGAAAAACAAGCCAGTTTGAGCCTTTCTGAAAGTCTGTCCTTGGTTATGGAAACTTTGTAAGATCAGTTCTAAGAAGGGAGACTCCTCACCACTCACAAAATTCTGCTGCTGGACCACATCAGGACTTGGCAAGGACAGCCTACATTCTTCACTGTCAGCTTCAACCAGGACTAAATGGAGACAAGCCTTTCAGTCAAGGTAAATGTTGGATTTTTTAATATTTAATAAAAACACCCCATTCCTACAAATCCATTAGCTAATAAAAAACAGCTCTGATTTCAGAGTTAAAAGATAAAGAAGAGGAGTTTAAACTTTAAAGGGGATAATGCTGTAGATTATTACATTCAGGAATTATATCCTTAACTGGTGCAAACTGGCACAAGTTCATCAGGGCCCTGTTGATCACCATCAGCACAGGATCTGACCTAACCTGTTCAGCACCCACAAACACATGCACCCCTGTGGTGCTGGCCCCAGAGTACCTAAGGCTTGCTTTCAGCAGAGACTAGTCAAAGAGAGAGACAATCCATAAGTTATAAAGAACAATACTGAAGTTTTTCTTCCTTTTGTATGGACTCCAAAAATCTATTTTCCTTTTCTTGTACTTTGGCTATTTTTGCTCGTGGAGGCTTTGGGACAGCGGCAGTGGAAACTGAAGATGCCTTGTTAATCTGAGGTCAAATTTTGTGTAGGCAGCTGCAATCCAAGCTTCCCCACCCTGCCCTACCACTAGACTGAACTCTGACCTGCTGGGACCACCCCCTCCCTCA